TGTGCGTATCGGACCGGCGAATTAGCGCGACCCGTCGTTAATCAGACTCTTACCACCGACGGCGACGTCCTTGTAAAATGCAAATAGAGAATTAACCTGGATTTTTGCGTCCGATAACGCACAGTAAATTTATATAGAGCATTTACACGGGATCTTTCGTAATTGTTGCTACGGAAAAGTCTACGCGGTCTTTAATAAAAAGTCGATCTCGGTCGTGCGTCCGATTCTATAAAAATTCTATGGAAAGCATGAAATAATTGAAACGTATAACGTAAATTAAATTGCGATATTATTGAATTCAGCTAATCATTGATTAATGTTCGTTAACTTTAATATTTTATGTATATTATCTACAATTGATTTTGTCGATTAATCCAATAATTTTCTCCCCAACTCTGTGTGTGTATTGATGAAAATATTTTGGCGCCTTGCCACACAACCCAGTTTGCTTTCAAGTGAATGAAGAATAAGCTGCTTGAAACGAATATTATTTTCACAGAATTTTAATTTAAAGCATTTTATATTAAATATTTGAAAAATGTGTAATGTACATATTATTAAAAATCTCATTCGAAAAAGCAATCATTATAAATTCTAATCGTACTTTCAGTCGGGAATAAATATTTTATTATATGAAAAAAAAATTATATATATAGAGAGACACTAAAATTCTCGTAAACATTTTCTTGAAGAATTTAATTAAATCATGTTTTATTGATAACGATATCGGGTGTTATAAGATATAACACCCGATTTTCTCCATAAACGATACTTAGAAATAGATTTACATAATTAATGGTACTAATTGAGGCTTCTCCCTTAATAAGAACGTTCTCGAGTAACTAATTGCCAATTAAGTACAAATTGACATCACGTTACATCTCATTATAAAAATGTAGTTAAGGAAATAATACCGTAACGTATTTTACTCTATTGAATTTTTTACGTCGACGCAGCTGTAAAATTTGTGCACATGGAAATTATAACATATATAATTCTTTTTTACGATTGTTATGTAATGTCAATACTTTTGTCAGAAGCTTTTTCTACACAATATGGTTATTTTTACTATAATATATATATTTAAAACATTTTTTATCAAATTTTTGTTATACAAATATTTTTACTTTCATTTTATATTCTTGAAGCTTCTTACTAGAGAAAAGCAAACTGGTTTGTGGCAAGGCGCCAAAACATTTTCGTCAATACTCACCCATAAAAGAGGAAATATATTGTTGAATTAATCGATTATATGTATATAAAATATTAAAGTTATTGAATATTAATCGTTGATTAATCGCATGAAAGCGGATTGTGTGTGTGTGTGATAGGCGTACCGACGCATCTGTTTTTTCTCATCGAGTTTAAAATCGAAGCTTTTGAGCTCACACGAAGTCTACACGATGTGCTTATCGACTCTCGATAAGCCGCCAGTCCGTCCGTCCAGCCAGCGGTTTCTTATCGACTATGAAAAGGCGGTCGATTTCGTCCCGCGCGACGCCGATAGCCAATCTATAGATCGGCTTTAGAAAATAAAGCTTTATTGATGTATTTGATAAAATTAACGTGTATTAGCGACAGATGCGTGCGTTGTATATTTTAGCATAGGCGAGAATTAAAAGCGGCGATATATAGATAAGCGATATTATAATTATTATCGCTGCGCATCGGCAGGCTGGCACTATAAAAAAAAAACTGTCAGAGGACTCGACGATATAATCTATATCGTCAAACTACTAGTTATTGTAAACAGTGGAAATAACTACAGAGCGAGTATCGATTACATGAATGCGCCGCAATCTACACTTTATACAAAAGAAAGATTGCGCGATCGGGTTTGAAAATTGGCAATATATATTTTCAAGATCTATCGTAAACAATAAAAAAGTTAATAGGAACATGACTCTTTAGAGCGTTTGTTTGAACTTATAAATAGCCCTTTTGTACTTTAAAAGATAAAAAAGTCGATGAACAGCCAGAATTGCATTCGGCTGTACACATACACATATACGCCGGTAATCTATTTTCAGAGAGAGAGTAAAACTTTAAACTCTTTGACTTTGTTTTTAAGCTCCGTGACAATCACATTAAAGCAAGAGCCTCTTCAGATCAAAGGTAAAGGGAGAGGAAATTTTGCTCATTACAAATCGGTCGTTCATTAAAGTAACGAGAGTCCAATTTCGGATGCATTCTGTTGCATGCATTTGTACGCAATTTTGACTTCGCGTCGGCTCGTTGAAATTTTTAAAAGCGAATGGGTTTACAATTTAAACACAGTTTTACTTTAATGAGAGGATATGTTTTGAGAATGTGCAACGCAAAAAGGACTTGGGTGTATTAAAATTTTCATGAAATTTTTCTGCCAAAGTTCTTCTACGCATTGTTCTGTAAATATAAAATTCTGTTTTGCTATTGTCTAATATAAACTGCAACAGTTATGTAATTATTGCACATAGCTAATGATAATAATATGTGCGCAAATAGTTAGTATTTACATTCATATCACGGAATTGTTAAGTATTTCAAAGAAAACTCCGTTGTTGAATATCGATATTGTTAAAATCCACAAAAAAAAGTATATCAAGTCAGCTTTATCTTAATAATGAAAAAAAATGATGCTTGTGAAAAAGGGAGGCGAACACACGTATACGTGTACGCTAGGTTTCATCGTGTCAATATTTGCGGAGCATTCATCCGAATAATAATTCGAAAAAACAGGGGATGTGTATTTCGTAAGATTTGCTCACGAGCTGCACTCGGAGCGCACATAAATATGTCCTTTTTAATAAAATATTAGTTTGAATGTTCTAAGAATATTTCTTAGTTATATAAAAAAAGTTTTTAAGGATACAAGAAATATTGCGAGCACTAGCACAACTCTTTTGTATTGATTGCACAGAAAAGCGACATGCGAGTGTTTCTGCAACATTTAGGGACTATGCAATATTTGCATGACTTTATTCGAGAAGGACGCTGCGTTGAAGGCAAATGGTTGTCTAATCTTTTATTAATAGAGAATGTCTTTTGCAAATATTCACATTATTTTGTCTATTCGCTGCATGTCATATCTAGATGTGACGCGTATATTTATACATTGACTCCCTGCAGCGCAATCGAGTGACCGACATTGAAACTTTTCTCCGAATTTATCGTGGCTATCATAAAAGATACACGTAACACTGTCAATAGACTTAGCTTATTTTCATGAAAATGTCGATACTGTCAATAGACTTAACGGATTTCCGCGAAAATACTGATACGGTTACAGATTTGCATGATTTGCACGAAAATCTTGAAGGGTGCTTATCATATATGCATGAATATTGCAACAAATTAATTAATATCATCATCTAGCGATTAAAATATATTAAAAGCTTGTAATTTCTCACAAACTTCTTATCTCAATCAATTCTTTTATATTTATCTACTTTTTGCGGATGCGACAAGCGTACGGCAAACCTAAATGCGTATCGTTGATTACATAAATTGAAAACCGTGTATAATTACGAAGATACGTGTGCGTGTGTGTGTGTGTGTGAAAAGAGGACATTGTCAAGCGCGCCAGTTCGTCACGATAACAGCATTGACCAATGCAGTTTCGCGGATAATGCGTGTAAAAATAGACGCGGAAAGCCTCGTGCGACTTTGAAACTGTTATGCCTTTAAGCCGCAGTTGTTTTTTTAATGATCTTTGCTACTCTTATAGTCAGTGAGCAAAATGTTGGCAAAATGTTGGCGGATTGGCAAAAAATTTCATCAAATTTCTTATCATTTGGCTATCCGAATTTCTACTGCACTGTGAATATATACTGTGTTGAATTATTTATTTTCAAAACGGTATAAATCCTAATTTAAAGAAGTTAAATTGTATTATTTAAACAAGAGAAAGAAATACGCGCAGCTGTCTAGTACATTATCTTCAAACGGAATAATGTCTAGATGATGTAGTCAAATGCCCTTCAGATTGAAAAAGGCGAAGCGACTTTGCGGAAAGGACGAGAGTGTAACAAAGGCGTTCTCTATGTACCACGTCCATCTTAATCACGCTGACAAATGAAAGACGCGGGACTTTCTTTCTCACAAAGAAGAAGCCAGTGGTCCTTATGACATATCGTCGTAGTTTCACAGCTTTGTATGAACACGTATACTGCTGTGCAAACACATATACTGTATAGTATATTTTCGTACTGTGAGAAACTGAGAAAAAGCATACAATATAGATGGAAATGCACGTTCTGACGGAGAAGTAATACAGCCGCAACGGTTTCCTTTTTGAGCGCATGAGGATGATTAGCGCATGTACACGCATATATGTATACATTAATCCGAACTCGCGAGGAAACCGCGCGTACATGCAACGTGTATTATACACACGCATTCTCTTCTCTGTGCAGAGACG